GAAGCAAAGATTTTTTTGGCTTTAATTAAATTTAATGGATGTTTTTATGTTTGCTTTAATTATAGATCTAATGTCATGTTCACATATGTCATCATTGGTACGAACACAACAAGGACCATTTATATTATCAGATCATACACTGAGTCTAAATGAGTGTAATCTACAGAATATCCAGACATCACTGGAAAGGTTCCACAAAATGAATTTGAAAGACACAGTTGCTAGTAGGTAGTCAGTTGAACCAAGATGTCATTTCCATATGAGTTATCTTGCTTCAGAAGAAATATACTGTACTTTGGCCATTCATAGATGGACCTTTACACAACTCTACTATATGAATGATGGATGTGAATGAACTTTGCTTTGCTTGCAAGTATCCCCTTTTAAAATACTTGTATATGGTGGATGACAATCCGCTTACATATATGCTAAAAACGAACAATGCATGCACCTATAACTTTTTGGTTCATCAGATTGTTGCCAAAGATGTAAACAAGCAGCCAGTCGGCTGAGATAGCTCCGCTGTTAGCAATGCACATTTCAATTAAAGAACAGAAGATATCATAAGAAAATGAACAATATGTATAGTGTCAAAGCAATGGGACTTGCTGTTTTAACAAGAATTCAAAAATATCACTTTTCACCAAAAATGACAAAAATAATCATCAAAATTAAAGAATTGAAGATATCATCATGAAATGAACAAATCTGAGAGTGGTCAACATGTAGTACCTATATATGTAATATCAAAGCAATTGGACTTGCGGTTTTTAACAAGAAGTCGAAAATATCACTTTTTACCAAAAATGACAAAAATATTCATCAAAATTAGAGAATTAAAGATATCATCACGAAATGAACAATTCTGAGAGAGGTCCACATGTAGTACCTATATATGTAATATCAAAGTAATCAGACTTGCGGTTTTTTACAAGAATTCGAAAATATCACATTTTACCAAAAATGACAAAAATATTCACCAAAAATAAAGAATTTGAGATTTTGACATGAAATGAACAAACCTGAGAAAGAACCATCCAAGGTACTTGCTTATCAAATTTGAAAACATTCTGACCTGCGACTTCGAAAGAAGAAGTTGAAATTGTAAAGTTGACACTGACGACGACGACACAATCAGTAATATGAACAGCTCCGCTGTGTCGACTTTGTCGACAGCGGAGCTAACAAAGTTAAACAGCACTCTCAAGCATATATATGTAAATTGTATTGGCAGTAAGGTACTGTAAGTAATTTGTATTCACTGCACCTCCAGCTTCGTGCTGGAATTGTGTGTTGGAATCGTTGTTCTTTCCTGAGTTCTTTATGGTTAACACCAAAATATCTCTGCCACCACATATTGTCTTTTTGTGGTGAAACGCCATTTGACTTTTACTAAGTGGATTCTTGGCATTTTTTTTATTAGAGGGCTCTTGTGTTGATTTCTTCTTACTTGTCAACAAGTTTTAAAATGTTATTGACAGATAATGATCTTTTTGTAAATGCAAAGAAAAGGATGAATTAATTATAATTACATAGAAATACTGTAAAACATGTCTTTTTCGCGAGCATGTCTTTTTCGCGAATTTAGCGAGAGAACTGTTTCGCTAATTCGAGATGTCGCTAATGACTTTATTATCAATTCAAAATGGCTGCCAAACAAAGAAATCAACAATGACAAGAGATTTGCTAAATCAACATTTCGCTATTACGTCATTTTACCATAATTCGCTAAAATTGCATGCCGCTTTTTCAACATGTTTTACAGTAATTTAATCGCTGAATAACGTTCTCCTTGCTTCTTTAAGCTGACCTGTCCTGCTGATTGTCAGATGATGAAATATAACAAACAAAAGCTAGCTCACTAATACTGCCACTCAATTTAATTGTGCCATGGAAAAGGAAGAAATGCCAAGCAGTCGTTGAACGTACACACACACATGTACTCTTCTCAATATTTAGATTATCTCATTATCTAAAAAATACTAAAAATAAACTCATGACACTTGTAATATATTCAGTACTTTATTTGTCTTCAATTCATATTCCCAGATATAATATTTATACCTTTAGTGCATTTTATGCAAGTATATTAATGTAGTGCTGCAATATGTCCCACAATGGACAATATAATGTTATGCATACAATGTTGCTTTAGTGTATACAATAATGTATTATTGGAAACTGTATTAAAAAATAAGTTTGTAGTGTGATTTAAGCAAGATTGACACACAATGGTTTTATTCCTACAGAAAATATTATGCAAGTAAGTAAATTACTACCCTAACATTTTGCAAATTACCAATTAACTATTTTTCATATCCCCTCCCAGTCACGATGTGATTCTATCCTTCATTTTAATCTACATTGGTAATTTTCTTGCAACAAACTAACGGGTATTTGAGGCTCCATAAAGCATTTTAAAAGATATGAAAAACAAAACCATGATATGGCACATACCAAATGTACCAGAATGTTTTCATTGTAAAATGACTCTAGTATAGGAATGTATGTCAACATGTGTCCTATGATAAGATATGAAGAAACTGAATTATGTTTTGGTTAGATTTCAGTGCATTAATTTTTGCTAACTGTAACAAGTCATTTTAATATATCTAAGCAAGTATATTAAATGTATATTTTGTCCATGTACAATTTATGTGCTCAAATTATTACATCAATATCTTTATCTCAGTGATTACAATATCTTTATCTCAGTGATTACAATATACAACTTCAAATGTTCATGTATATGTACTAATTAGGTTGATTAATAGTGCAGAAATGAAACAATATATTTTATCTTCAATTTTATTGAATTATCCTTAAACTAATAATTCACCATAATTTTTACCAACATTATGAATTGTGAGTGAGTGTAAAAATGCCAATGTAAACATGCATGAAATGTAATGGAATTGAAACACAACATTGAATGTAGAATGTCACATAATAAAAAGATGTTCATGTGTCAGTTTCATGTATCAATTAATTATCCTGTCACCAAGAACAAAATTAATGTATTTAGTGCAAAGTAATTTACACTTTACAAAAAGAAAATCATCAAAAATAATGTTTAAAAGATTTACAGATTTATAAGTAACTAAAGTACATTACTCAAAACTACAAATACCTATAGAACCAGACTACATACAACATTTAAGCACCTATTTTTGATCAAATAAAACTTTCTGGGATCATAACTTGTATCTCTGAATACATTAATTAAACTTAGTTTCCATCCCATTGAATAATGTATCTGAATTTGTCTATACTAAAGAAAACAGGTGCTTTGCAGTCAATGCAACAACTGGGAACCCAGATGGTGTTCCAGGAAATGGACCAGCAGAACCAGCAATATCCAGATGTGAATAGCATAGTGGATTACTAGAATTGCATCCATGCTGCAATAGAAAAACAAGATTTAGTAAGAAATTTAATATCTCCAAAATATGTATATACAATTCTTGTGTTAGTATAAAGTCCCAGGGTTTGATTACCTTACGATGATAAGAGCAAGTTAAACGCTTATTTCATATAACCTTACCTTATCAAGACCTGATGCCATAATAAGGAATGCAGCAGGTGATTGATGTCCTCGGCATGTCATGGTAGATGGAGCATTGTTAGATTGTAAGACATCCTCATATTCAGATTTACCCTCATGAAAGGTATAGTCCTGTAGAATGTAATGAAATTGTAAATAGATTGCTTTGTGTGTATATATATAGAATTATCTGTAACTGTATAAAAACAAAATTAAAAAACTCTTGAATTATGTGTAGCCTTGTATAAGAAAGTTGGATGGCAGTTTATCAAATTTCAACACCCCTTGCAGTAGCTGAGTTCTTTGGCTCACACACTGTGGTAGCTCCGAGTGTTTTGTGTAAACTACTTTGACGGGTACAGTCACTTCGCCCGAAATCCACTTCGCCCGAACTCCTTCGCCTGATTACCAGTCCGCCCAATTACCGGTTCGCCCGTTTTCCCTTTCGCCCGATTTACCGAAGTTACACAGTAGGCCTACTGGGGGGTTTCGACTCGAAATGTACATCTGGTAAAATGCATAAAATCTACCATATGATCACATTTTAGTGATCATTCTTGCCGATGCAAACACTGCAACTGATGTCCGCCATTGCGGGTAGTCATCCTCATTCACAATAGAGGGGTGGCCGACAGGCATTGGGACAGGTATGCATCGGCCGTCATAAACAGATTTTTCACTTCTTTCACCATCAGTGTTTAAATAAAGACATTTTATCACTGAATAATAAAATTATTATTACATTATTTTTAAAAAAAGAATCAAAGATGTAAATTTTTAATTTGTATTTCAATTTCTACGTAGACATTCCATATGTAATACATGTACTAATATATATATTTTTGGTATTTGTGATTTCTTGTAATTGTCTTGTACAATGTGTGTTTTTATATTGCTCGATTGTATATTAGCACCTGGTGTGCTACTTTATTTTTATTCGAGGGTAAATAAATAAATGTAATGTAAATGTAAATTATGCATTATATCACAGTCCCTCTATAGAGGGACTGTGATTATATCTTTACTTTCATTGCTCCCCCCTTCCAGGAAACAAAATGTTCATGCAATATTGGTAGTGAAACTGGAGAAAACAAACACAATACTAGTAAAATATTTCAAAAGTTTTTCCTCAACTCAATTTGTTGAATTGTTGTAGCTCTGTGTTTTACTGTGTCAAGTTACCAAAAAATGCTAATATTAAAGGAAAAATAAAGTTTTATCAGATTGGAATTACATTAAAAACAGAGGTTTACATTCTTATACAAAAAAAATGTGTTTGTAAATTACGTTACAACCCTGTTGTAAATTTCACGTTAATCACCTTATAAAAACAAATTTCGACTTCTACGTTATCTTGTTTTGATTACACGTAAATACCAAACATACAAGGAATCGGCGAAATGGTAATCGGGCGAACAGGTAATCGGGCGAAACCGTTCGGGTGAAGTGGTAATTGGGCGAAATGCCCCCAATTCACTTTGACATTTCATGGTTTAGTTACTTGTCCTTTCATACACATATTTTAGACAATTTACTGACCAATATTAGTATTTGTAGATGAGCCATGTATTCATATTTACAAAAAAAGGAGTTTAAGAAATGCCTACCTCTCTTCTGATTCTTGATATTTCAAATGGATCAGCAACATTTTCTCCAGCTGCAAAAGAATCATGCTATTGTGATTAATGCATTGTCTGCTGAGAACCTGAGCAGATTTCTATCAATGGTGTAATGTTAGCATGTCATGTGTTAACAAGGTGTTTACCATATGAGAATAAGTCATAATTGTACCCGGATTCGGCTGATACCCCGCCCATCCTAAACCCCGCCCATGGGCGATGTTTCAACTAGTGGGCGATGTTTTGGTCTACACATTGCCTGACTGAACCAACAAACATTTCTACAGACCCCAATTTTCCCGTCCGACATCTTGTATCGAGCGCGCTATTTCAAATATGACGCTAAAATAATTCACTTTGAAGTCGAAAAGCATTAAAACTTCAATAAAACCAATGCTGTATACGAATTGTTGTTGCGTATAATGACTCGTTAAAATACATTTCACTTACGTTTATTACACTCGAATAAAGTCTACGCTTGAAAAGAATGTTATTTACGAAGTTTAAAATATCCAGGCCTTCCTGGTTCGAGCCTCTTGGTTGTTATCAGTAATGTTTAATCCTTGTCTGTATCGCATTCCAGACAAAAAGTCGGTAAACAAGAAATAGGCAAACTAAAATGTCTCCCGCGTTTTACATACGACATGATTATTAAAAAACAGAGTTAAGCGGTCGTGTACGTTCTATAAAGCTAACCTTGTACACATAATCTTGTACTGACATGTTTTTTGTCCAAAAAAGAAGGTTCCCTTTCAGTTAACTCTTCGCGTTCATGGTTTTTGTGAGAGTTGAAAGATTTTTT